TCACTCCAAGAGGCACCTATTGCTACAAAGTAATGCCGTTCGGCCTCAAGAATGCCGGGGCAACCTACCAGCGAATGATCACTCGAATGTTCAAGGACTAGCTCGAAAAAACCATGGAAGCTTACATAGATGATATGGTAGTGAAAAGAAAACTCGCTACAAACCACCTCGCAGACTTAAGAGAAGTCTTTGGTATCCTGAAAAACCATCAGCTTCGCCTTAATGCCTCGAAATGCGCTTTCGGGATAGGAACAGGGAAGTTTTTGGGGTATATGGTCACTCACAGAGAAATCGAGACAAATCCAGATCAAATCAAAGCAATATAAGAGCTTGAAGTACCAACGAAGGCTAAAGAGCTACAGAAGTTGGCCAGAATGGCGGCCGCCCTGAATCGGTTCATCAGCAAGTCTTCAAATCGGATGAAGCCCTTCTTCCAACTACTAAGAAAAAAGGCTACGTTTGAATGGGGTCCTGAATGTACCGAAGCATTGCAAGGTCTCAAAAAATACCTCAGTACACCACCTCTCCTGTCCACTCTAGAATCAGAGGAGGAGTTGTACCTACATCTAGCAGTCTCAGATCACGCTGTAAGTGCGGTATTGATTCGAGAGGTTGAGAAGGAACAAAGGCCAGTATACTATGTTAGCAAGACCCTACTAGATACCGAGACACAGTATCTACCCTTGGAAAATTTAGCTTACGCACTACTCATCGCCTCAAGAAAGCTGCAACATTACTTTCAAGGTCACACCATCAATGTCCTCACTAAATTCCTCCTCAGATCTATCTTCAGCCGAGCTAATTTCTCCAGCCGAACAGTGAAACGGGCTATCAAACTTGGTGAGTTTGACATTCGATATCAACCTAGGACAGCAATCAAGGCCTAGGTCTTGGCGGATTTTGTCGCAGAATTCACTCCCACCCAGAGCACTGAGCCCGAGAACTCCAGTTCGGCACAGGTGCCATGCACCACCAAATTAGGAAAGCAATGCGCTTCAGAAGCATGGAAACTCTTTATTGGTAACATCTGGCAGCTCTATGTTGACAAATCATTCAATAACCGAGACTCGAGAGCAGGGGTAGTACTTATGTCACCCGAAGGGTTTATTTGGGAGTAAGCTCTTAGGCTTGGTTAGAAGGCTTCTAACAATGAGGCGGAATACGAAGCACTATTGGCTGGTTTACATAGTGCCGAACACTTCAGTGCAGAGTAACTTCTGGTTTTCAGCAATTCTCAATTAGTGGTAAACCAACTTACTGGGGTCTACGAAACACAAGACGAAAGAATGGCTATGTATACAAGCAAGGCCAGGGATCTACTCAAGAAATTCCAGTCCATACGAGTAGAACGAATCAATCGGGACAGAAACATCCATGCTGATGCTCTAGCTTGCTTCGGCTCATCAGTAGATGCCAAAGACGCTAGAAAAGTTTTGGTTGAGTTCGTGCTAGAACCAAGCATTGCATCTCTAGTCCTCTGCAGTAACCTAGAGCCAAGCTGGATGGATCCAATACTTGTTTTTTTGAAATCTGGCACTCATCCTGAAGATAAAAAGGAAGCTAACAAAATCTGACATAGTTCAACTCGGTTCTGGGTCTTACTATCTGGGAAACTATACAGACGCTCCTATTTCGGTCCTTATCTTTTGTGTGTGCATACAAGTCTGGTCGGAAATGTTCTTTACGAAATTCATGATGGGATTTGTGGATGTCACGTCAGTGGAAGGTCACTGGCGTACCGAGCCCTTACTCATGGGTACTGGTGGCCACGGATACTACAAGATGCACAACAGTACGTTCAAAAGTGTGATAAATGTCAAAGGTTTGCTCCACTAATTCATCAGCCAACCAAAACTCTCACTCCACTCACCAGCCCATAGCCCTTGGCCTAATGGGGTTTGGATATTATTCGACCGTTGGCACGAGGCACTAGGAACTGACGATTCTTCATCGCTACAATCGATAATTTCACTAAGTGGGTTGAAGTCGAAGCATTGGCAAGTATCAAAGAAGCGGACACAAAGCGGTTTGTCATGAGGAACGTCGTGGTCCGTTTCGACATCCCGCGGGTACTGATTGTAAACAATAGAACACAGCTTGACGAAAAGATCTTCTGAAGGTTTTGTGCCAACCTCAAAATCGAATATCAGAACTCTTCTCCGGGCTACCCACAAAGTAATGGGCAGGCAGAAGCGTCAAACAAAACCATCATCAACGGGGTAAAGAAGCGGTTCAAATGTGCAAAAGGAAAATGAGTTGAAGAGTTACCCCACATGTTATGGGCTTACCGAACCATCGCTCGGCGCTCAATGGGGGAAACGCCTTACTCCCTAACTTATGGAATGGAGGCTATTAGCCCACTTGAAGTTGGTCTCCCAACCTCCGATCTGAACTGTTTGAAAGCACAAAAAAAGAGTTAAAGATCACACTTTGACAAATGAAAATATCTCACTTTTATTAGAAGTGTGATAAAAAAAATTAGATTGATATTTTAATCATACTTGATTTGATTAAGTGTGATAATATTTATTTTTTATATCACTTTTTAATTAAGTGTGATTATATATATACTTTTTAATCACACCTTTTAATTAACATGTGATTGAAAATCCATAAGAAGAATTAAAAATATCTCAATTTTATTAAAAGTGTGATTAAAAAAATTAAAATAATTTTTTAATCACACTTAATTTAATGAGTGAGATAATATTTTTTTATCACACATTTCAAATAAGTGTGATTATATATATTTATACAAAATCTAAATCCTAGCCTAACCTAATCACCCTAACCTTTTATATATTATACAAGGTCTAAACCCTAACCTAACACTTCCTCTTACTCTATCCCTCACTCTTCTCACTCTTTATCTCTTCCGCCTCCTACATCGTTGCCTCTGGTGGCGCCATCGGCAACCACCACTGTCGCCGCCTTCACGATGGCGCCGCCTCCACCTCCTCACTCACTGCCTTCTCTCTCTTCTCCTATTCTCTTCACCTATCTTCACCAGTCGTCTACTTCGTTTTCCCCACTCTCGTTGTCAGTTCAAGCTTTGTTAGTTCGTCTTCATTGTCGTCGGGTAACAAGCATCGCCGTCAGCGCACAAGAGCACCACCGTCGCAACACCGTCGATCCATTACCCCAAGTATCTCTGTCTCTCTCGCCCTCTCTATCTCGCTCTGTCCCCTTCTCTGTATGTCCCGCCGACTGGGGATTCTTAAGGTACACAAACTCAAATCGAGCATTCCCTCTCATTCCCCTTGTCGAACCCCCTTATCATTTGTTTATGTCATGAAGCTTGGTGCCGACTAAGGCTTGTTGAACCTTGTTGATCATTATAATCTGTTTTTACTAGTGTATATGATATTGTATATATATATATATATATATATTGGTGTGCAACTAGGTCGATTTAGATTTATCTGGGTTCGGTTTGCTTTGTACCTATGAATTATCTCTTTCCTTTCCTCTGCACTTTGAAATTAGCTTCCTCCATGAATGAGCTTTCTGTAGCTAATGGTCTTGATGATAACCTCTGGTTTGCTTGGTTTAATTTGATCTTCTGAACAACAATTAGGCAAAAAATATGAATTGACACTGAAAATCTATTAGCAATAGTATGACTTGCTAGTATAGCATTGTAAAACTAGAGTGCATAAAACAAGGCTTATTCATTATTCTTCATTAATTTTCAATGTCATAGGTTTCTCAGGCACACATGCCTCCAATGTCATAGGTTTTTCAGTTAGAGGAGAGATAGTTTTGACCTGTAAGAAGGACAAATAGAATAAACATGTTTTCTGCCCCAAACCCAAATTTATGTCCAATCAGTGATGACTTATGAAATATTGACATGAACTTGGGACATGAAACAACTACGCAAGGACACACAGGCTGGGTGGATACTAAAATCTACACTACATGGCAACAAGTTGGGGTGTGTATATGTGTGCATGCTATAACAACAGCTGAGTGTCTAAAATTATTAAAATTACTTTGAAACCATGAGATAGGACTACTTGTGGAGTATGCTAACTACTTGATGACACAAAATGGGTCAAATCAAACAATGGGGTCAGACAGACTAAAATAGTAATCTGTCAATACAGTAAAAAGATTTTTTATTAACTTACCTTGTCCCAATTCTCTTTAATTTCAATACCTCCACATTTTGAAAAGCTAATGGTACAAGTATTTAACACATCAGATGGAAGACCATTTATAATGTCGACTCTTACTTAGCTGTATAGTATGTTGGGAAGAAAAATGGAATAATGTGAAACCGCGACAGACAACAGAAACTTTGGAACATAATTTATTGCTGGGATTGCCAATTAAAAGAGCACCATGTAAGCCAAGTAGTTGTTTAGTTTAAAATCTAACATCTGACTTGTCAGTAGAGTGGACATTTTCTATATTTAGTTGAACAATTTCCATAGTTTTTAAAAATTTCTCTGTTTCATTAAGTTCTAGATAATAAAAGATCTAACCTTTAAATCTTACTTTATTCTCTAGTCCAACCTTTTCGAAGCAACCAAATAGTCCTTTCCTTTATATTCATATTTTTCAATTATGTTTTTTCACCTTTTCCTTTATATTAATTAGATTACTATAGATGCCAACTATAACTTTAACACCCCTTCCAAAGAGGGTAGAAAAAAATACATTGTGAAATTTTTTGATTTTAAAAAATATTATTGATGCTTAGGTTTGATGTGTAACCTTCTGTATTATTTTATGTTCCCTTTCCAAATACATGCTGAAAAGAAATTGTTTTTTTTAAATGGTTTTCTTGAATCTCCAAATTATAATTCTTTCTGCTTATCAAGCTTATTTCATCTTTTGACCTATCCAACATCCTTTCTACTTACAATGATACTTACACTGTTATTACCATTTATGGGAACATTTGCAATAATTAATAGAAACTATCATTCTCAAATTTGTGGCTAGAGCGTTCAATTATTAATAGAGTATATTTTCACTTACATGAAAATATGCAAAAATATTAATATTTGGGAATGTCTTTATATAAAATCCAATTCAATAACATTTTCAGAATTGGTCATACTAGTTCATTACTTAAATATGTAAAACATACTTACACGACAATGTCGATTGATTTAGTTATCTTCACTCCTTAGAATGTATGTAATATTATTTTGAAAATTATATGTGGAACTCTTTCTATCAAGTTATTGTCAAAATTCATTCAATGGTACAAACTACTTGGGCTTTAATCATTTAAATAGGCTTTGTCTCTCTAAAACATTTCTCAACAACAAATAATGAGATATAGAATGAGTGCTGATACTTTAATCATTTAAATATGACACATTTTTCATAGTTAAAAGTGGTGGTAACAATAATACTAAATTCAGAACTTCACTATTTTAAAATGCTTCTTCTTCTTCTTATTTTATTATTATAATTTTATTTTTTTTTGTAGTTTGGAATTATACGTGTTACCAATGGAATCCTATATGAAAATATCAAATATATGTATCTAGAAGGAGAGTGTATCAAAAAGTTGTACATTTTATAAAGAATATACAATCATTTTAAGCTTGACTAATGATAGTGGATGGGAATGCAATGCAGAGATTGACTTCTTGAAGTTCAAGCCTTGCAGTAGCAGCAGTGGCAATATTTGTTTCAACAAAAACAAACAGTGGACACTAAGAAAGCAATTTCTCTTCTCATCCAACATATGGAAAAGGTAAAGTTGGTGATGTGAATCACGACTTTACATTTTTAATCAAATCAATTATGTTTTAATTACCCACAATTTTTTTTTTCAATTAACATATGATTGTATTTTTTGATGCACACGGCTTTCCTTATGTATACACCTAAAACTCAGTCCTTTCCTTTCCCTATACAAGACTTTTAAAAAGTTGAATACTCAGTTGATTTAAACCTTACTACATGCTATATGAACATTTCAGAATATAGGAGAAAAGGAAGGCCCCAAAGGCTTATATATTTACAATATCCATACATTTTTCTTTGTCTATACTCTCCAAATCTGAAATCCAGTTCCAAGGTATATGCATAACATTTAGTCTGTGCTACCCTTATGGTGATCGTTTACATTCCTTCAACTCATTGCGATGTCAGATTGAACCTTAAGATTGTGATTGGCTTATGATCATTCGCTCCATTGGATCTGCATACTTATATGAATACATATTGGTTTGATTTTCATGTTACTTGATCTTATATGAATACACATTCACTCCATTGGAGTACTTTTGAAGTTGGGCCTTTTCTTTTATTTTTTTGTACTTCACTTCGACTAATTTTTTCTTCTCCTTTTCATCATCAAATAGACAAAAGGTTGAATCTTTTCTACCCATGGAAGGTAATATTTTGAGTTATGTTTTGATTATTATTATTATTTTAATCACTCTGTTTTTATTCTTGTATTTGTCTACCTAAGATATGCACTTAATGACTTCACTCATTGCTTTTGATTAGATCTGATACTTGATTTTACAAGTTTTTGGGATTTCTTCAGTTGTTTTATGTACGTAATGGGTTAGGTCAATGTTGTTCCTTATATTTACCATTATTCTGAGTTGCTACTGATCCTTTCATGTAGGATACTGGTGTGGCGTTTACTACTTTGGACAGTTTACCTTGTGGCATCATTCAAGCCAGGTTAGATTTGGAGTTAAAACCTCTATGGTCAAAAAGTAGTTCAAAGTCAAAGGTTAGGTTTTGATCTTGGTATACTTTGGAAACAATACACAAACTTCCTTAGAATCATGTATTTTGTCTTCAAGTCACAAACTTTAATTCACAACGAGGGTTGTTATTATTATTTTTTAAATATATAAACAGTAACATTTTAAAGTGGTGTTAGTTATGTAGAAGATCAGTACTTCATACTTGTTGCCATCGTGCATCTTTTCTTCACTTTTCAGGTTAATGTTTCAAGCTTTCATATCTTCCTGGCAATTCCAGTTGGTATTAAACAAAAAAGTAATGTTGATGACATTGTTCAAAAGGTATAACTGTATAACTGTTTATTAATGGTTGGCGTTTAAAATCTATATCAGTTGTTAACTTAAGACATGTCATTTTGTTGACATTATTTGCCTAATTTTAGTGAATTCAGTTTCTTTTAGAGAATTTTACAATTATGTTAGTCCATTATGATGGGAACGTGGATGGATGGCGGGAACTGCTTAGTCATATGATTTTGTCTATCATATATGTTCGGGCCCTAACATAGTTTTTCTATTTTACCTTTTCAGCGCTACCAATATCATCTCTCTGCCCATTCCTTTATTTCATGGTGAGTATATATTTTACCTTTTCAACGCTACCGTTTCAGCTATATTTCTAGCAGGTCTGCTACTCTAATTTTTTTGGATATCTTTTGTTACAATAATCTTTAATTTCTATGAGGTTAGTTACTCAATAATATTGACAGCAGGTTTGTCCAATTTAATTGCTTTATTGATGTTTATATTATTAATTCTTACAATTTGTGCTTGAAACATTGTCTTTGAAGCATTGTGTTTTCTTAATAGGCTCACATTAGGCAGCTTGACGACTTCCTTAGGACCTTTCATATCCAAACATTATGGTAAATGTTTGATTTTGTATTCTTACTGAAGCAATGATTGATCATTGTTATTCTGTGATTATTTCTTTGGTTAGTTATCTAACTTGACTATACATGGGCATTTCACGATGAGGATCAGTAGAGCATTTGAAAACCGAATGATGTTAATAGATTGATTAAATTAAGAGCTTGAATTGTCCACATGGTTCAATAAAAGTGATGTGATCTAGTTAGTGCTTGTTGAAATGTAAACATTAGTTTTAGATTGAGGAAAGTGCTACACCTAAATATTTGGTTTTGTAGGCTCAAGCTTTTAACTGATGCAATGTATGTCTTCATTATTTCTTAAAGGTTTGTCTTAGAAGGAATTGATGAAGGATCCCTAAATGGAGCTGTAGATCGTGCATTTTCTCACTATCAAGAGAGTAAGTACAACAGAGTTTTCATACCTTGCATTTCCCATCTTGCGTTTATTAAAATTTCAAGAAATTCCATAATTTTGTTACACTATCATTTACATCCTTGCCACTAAATTCAAACAGTTTGAGATGTTTCTTTCTTCTCTAAATCTTACTCAGTAATTACCAGCAATTTTTCATCATGTACCTATCATATCTAATAACTATTACAATAATTTTGTACCTTCATCAAACTATAAATGGCTAATCAGTTTACTCTATCATCAAACTATTCAAAAATTCAGAACACCACTCACACCACTTGTCCTATATATAAAGTATACAAGTTGTTTAGTGTGAATTATTTGTCACACTCTTTGCATTTTTCCAAAATGCCCACAATAATATAAGTTTGAAAATTGCGACATGAGAAAATTAAACTGATTCAATATTTTAAAACTCAACAACCCTTATTTCATATTTTTTATTCGTAAATTACAAATAGTGTGTATATATATGTATGTATATATGTGCTATTTGTAATCAACTTTTTGGAAGTTAAGTGGAAGATAATGGACTAGCATTGCAATTTAGGGAAGATAAGAAAACTGTTGAAGCATTGCATTAACATGTTGTGTGCACGAGACTCGTTTGGACAAATTAAGGAGGGCTAGCGAAAACATGCCTTTGGACTTTGTAATTAGTTTTAGATAACACACAAAGTGATAAAAAAAATAAAAAATAAATAACTAAACACACGAGTTATAAATGTTTCATAACACAATGTCGATGCACGTGCTCTTTCATGCACGTTTTGAGTTTTGGTTTTGCTAATGCTGTCATTCTTGGTGTGATGTTTCTTAACATAGTATGTTTCTCTCTTGTTTTTTTGTTTTTCATTTGTTGAATTGTGTTTTGTTGGTATAACAAAACAACTTTCCAACACCTTTGATTAAAACAAAAAATAATTAATGAGTGGGAAGTCGTGTATTTTCGTGGCTCAGGAATACTAAGAGTGAGAGTGAGAGTGAGAGTGAGTAGGGCCGAAGCTCTTTAGTAGGTTGATGATCAGTAGTGTGCATGTTTGGCCTTGTCTTTGTGTAGTGTGTTTTGTGGCTGGTTGAGGTGTACTGCTGGTAAGAGTATATTCTGGCTTGTTTTTTTGTTTCACCTTTTATGCTCAAAGTCATTTCACATGGAAGCAAGCATGAGTATAGAATCACTGCGACCACTTTTCTTGTAATTCTCGTTTATTGTTGTTTTTGATACGTAGAATCAAATAAATATAATGATGTCTCATGGAAGATTTTCAATAAATTTGTTGATTGTATATATATTTGGTTTTATGACTTTAAAATATCTGGCCATACATTGAAGATTTTCATTTTGAATTTATTGATTCCATGTATATGTCATATTTATATGTAGTAACACAAACATTTTATACTAGTAACAATCAAAGTCGTTATTCTTTTTCTATTGATGCAGGGGATGAAGAGTCAGTGTGATGAGAAAATGTCCAATTTTGTCTTTTGTAAGACAATAACAGTCTCTACAAAAATAGTAAGTTTATTCATATGCTTCTAGCGGTTTCTGAATTAATTTTTTTTTTTTTTAGGTCAAAAATTTCCTGGAGAGATGCAAAATATAGTTAAAGAATTCAAGAACTTAGTTTTTTGAAGGTTTTTTTTTCATTTTTTTAATATATGTAATCACAATTAAAAACTTTTTATTAATTCTTTTGTATATACTTTTGAACATTTAATTTTTATTTATGAAATATATGACGTTATTCCATTCAATATATGGTTGTGATTCAAAATATATATAGTATATAGTGTGTATTATATTTTTCAAATGTGCATAAAAAATAATATTGGTTATTCTTCAAATCTGTCGAATTTTTTTTTTATCACAGGTTTTATTAGTTAATAATCACACTTAAAGATGTGATCTAAATGTTTTTAATCACACTTAAAAAATGTGATCTAAATGTTATTAATCACACTTAAAAGATGTGATATAAATGTTTTTAACCACACTTAAAAAATGTGATCTAAATGTTATTAATCATACTTAAAAGATGTGATCTAAATGTTTTTAATTACACTTAAAAAATGTGATCTAAATGTTTTTAATCACTTAAAAGATGTGATCTAAATATTATTAATCACACTTAAAAGATGTGATGAAATCATTTTTTAATGACACTTAAAACACTCCCAAAGATCACACTTTAATAAAACTTAAAAGGTGTGATCAAAAAACATACATCACACAAAAAAAGTGTGATCTTTATCTATATTTGTAGTAGTGCTTACTCTCTAACTTATGGAATGGAGGCTATTATCCCACTTGAAGTTGGTCTCCTAACCCTCCGATCTGAACTGTTTGAAAGCACAAGTAATGAGGAAGCTATTGCACAAGCACTGGATATGGCAGACGACCAAAGGAAAGCAGCACTGATCAAACTTGTAGCGTATTAGCAGCAGCTCATCAAGAGTTTCAACTAAAAAGTTTTCCCAAGGCAATTCACACCTGGAGAACTGGTTTTGAGGAAAGTTGTGGATCACAAAAAGGTGCCTGGCGAAGGAAAACTTGGACCTAATTGGGAAGGTTCATACAAAGTCACAGTCGTTGCTGGAAATGGAGCTTACTACCTAGGGGATCTCAAAGGCAGAGCCATACCTCGGCCCTAGAATGTACCAAATCTCAAGACATACTATCAATAGAATTATCCCCTAGCTTCTCTATCAGAGTGTAAAGACATTTATCTTTTGATCAATGCAAATGCCTCCCTACTTCTCTCAAATTTTTATCAGACCAGTTTTCATTGCAAGAGATTTTTGTAATCAATTTGGTGTTCACCAAACGGAATTAGCTTTAATGTTTATCAAATGGATTTAGCTTTGGTGTTTACCAAATGAAATTAGCTTTGGTTTTTACCAAACAGAATTAGTTTTGATGTTTATCAAATGGATCTAGCTTCGGTGTTTACCAAAAAGAATTAGTTTTGACATTTATCAAACGAATTTAGCTTTGGTCTATCCCAAACGGACTTAGTTTCAGAACGACTGAACGGGATTTAATTTTATTTAGCACTCAAACATGCCAAGTGGAACTGTTTGGTGGAATTATGTTTGGCAACTAAAATTGGACTTTAGCCAAGTGGAATTAATTGGTGGAAACCGCACTAACGTATTTTAAATAAACATCTCCAAGTCCGCAGAATTTCTTAAATATCATCACATCAACACTTCAGTATCGCTGCATACAAGCAGAGTTAGAACAAACTTGGCTAAACTCGATCAAGAGTAAACTTCTAACACTAGTCTTACTCAACTCCAAGTGGGGGCAAACAATTGTTTTTTTTTTCAAACCAACTCGGACCTAAGTAAGACATCTCTTTATACCTTTATCCCATCCTAATGCACTTGTGTTATCAAAGTTGCAACAGACTTAAGTAGTTCTGCCTAAGAGCATAATCTTCAGTACCAATCTTACTTAGCCCCAGGTGCGGGCAAACAACTGTTTTTCAGAACCAACCTAAACCTAAGTAAGACCCTCTCATTTCATTACAAAACCAAGCAAAGTGGTACAAAATACTCGTTAACTAGACCGAGCATCTATTCGGCTCTGAGGTCCCAACAATGCTCAACCGGGGACAAACAGTACAGATGACATTCAGGCATAGAAGCAAGAAAGCATCAGATTGCAAAATCAAAAGGAAAATTTCATCATCCAACAAAGGCACAACTGGCCTCACAAACAGCAACAAAAAAGAAGAAAATTGTCTTGGCAGCCTTAAGGAGACAACTCGTTAGGAAGACCGAGCTCTAGTACAGTGGAAAGCAAAAAGAAAAAAAAGCAAAACGTGAAAACTTTGAATCATTCCAAAGAAGACTTCAACTTCCATCAACAGGAGGAACCTTAGGAGCAGCGTCCACAATCTTATCCATGCCATATTGGGGAGGAAAAGTAGAAGCAGCTCCAACTTTTTGAGAAGTAGAAGCTTTCTTATCCACATCTCCCACAACTTCAGTTTCCAAGGTTCCACCCCCTTTAACGTTCACTGTCTCATTGGCAACATCGCTCTCCTGAGTTTTGGTTACAGAATCAGTCCCTGGGGAAACCTTAGCTGGAAGAATTGTAGGGGCAGTAGCAATCTTTAGACCCAAGGATCTTAAGGGAACAGGGACATCCTGAAACAAGGGAGACCTTTCAAGAACCTAAGCGACAGTCAGAGCACTTAACCAATCCTTCAGAAAGAGCTTGTCCAGCAACACCAGCACCTCTTCTTTGTAAGCAACCCTAGCCTCATCCCAACCTTGCTACCAATACTTAGCCTCCAACGTAGAACGTTCAGCGGCCATCACTGCAATAACAACTTCCAACTCTGTCACCTTCCCCTCAATTTGGGCCTGTAGCCCAATGGTAGCTTCCTTAGACTTCTCAGCTGAGGTAACAACCTTATTCAGACGGAACACGTCCCTTTCGGCAGTGTTGCGTCCTTCTTTCTCGGCCTCCAAGCTCACTGACAATCTCTCAGCATTCATAGAGGCCTCCAGTATGGCCTTCTCTAGTTCTTTTTCTCTAGTGATTGACAAGTGCATCCTTTGAATACACTACAACAGATAGTAAGGTATTAAAAGAAAGAACATAGTAGCATAAAACCAAAAAAAAAAAAAAAACACACACACACACACACTTACAGCAGTCATCATTTGGAGGGACTCCTTCAAAACGGGAATATCACGAGGCCCGTTGTGATCGACCATGCCCACTGGCATTAACAAGGTTTTGGTTAGGTCAAAAGCAAAGTCTCTGGAAGCAATAACTGAATCTGAAGTAGAAATGGGTCTGCCCTGATGCAACATTGGTGGCTCCTACTTCTCAAATAACTCATCTTCAACGGGGTCTTCAGAAGCCTCTCCAACTGCCGCCTTGTCGGTCTCCCTTCTCCTCTTCTTCGCCCTTGTAAAAACTGAAGCAGAGGGTTCGACAGCGGCAATTTAGGGGCCAGAGGCTCCAATCTCAAACTTTATATCCATAAAGCTCTTCATTTCGGCCTTGACCGAAGGAGCCTCCAAAGCGTCAGAGGAGCCAAAAGCCTCCGCTTCCAAATCCACCAACACTCTCTTTTTCGACATAGATGGTGGCCCTTGCGAAATTAGGGGCAGGAGAAGGCATCCTCTCAGACGGCACACCTTGGCTTTGGCGGCGATTCGTAACCAAAGGGGTAAGGGACGTATCAGTTTCAGTGTCAGAATCTAGAAGAGAAGCCGCGAGCCTCGCTTTCTTCGGGATGGTGGAACGCTAAGTCACTTGCTAATCCAATAGCTCAGGCGTGGTCCTCTTCTTGTACCTCAAAATGGCTTTAATGGCCTCGGTATTCTCTCAGTTCGGCCTGCGCTGAAAACGAGAAACCTCTGTAGAAAAGAAGGGCAACATTAGAGCAACATTCAAAACAAGGCAAAAAACGCAAAAAATACTAGAAGGAAGGACTTGAACCTAGGTAGCCATCCTTTTGGGGCATCCATTCAAATTAGAACTTAGTCCCAGCAGGAAATTCCCAATTACCACGAACTTGTAGAAAATCATCATTATGCTTGTCCGAATCAGGTAAACCAGTCACCAGATGGCAATCGACTGAACGAACACGAAGGTAGTACGTGCTGTGATCCTTGTTATGTGAAAGAGTATAGCAACCCAAAATGTCCCAGATGTCAAGATTTAAATCCAACCACCTGCTAAGAGCAGAGTCGTCGCAGATGACTCGGAACAGATTAATAGATACTGCATAGGGGTAAGTTGAAGTTGGTGCAAGAATTGACGCACCAAAGGGTCGAGGGGAAATCGAACCCCTCCCTCAACAAAGGCAACAGTACTCTTAGTGCCCATGCACTTAGCGTCAACCTTCGCCAGCGAAAGGGTCATATCATCAAAGATACCATAGTCTCGACGAAACATGGCCATAGCCTTAGGGGTATTAACTAATGATCTAAACTTCCCTATTAAACAAATCTAATGGGACAAAAATAAAACTCAGACAAGGCAGAAAATAAAACTAGACGCCAGAAACAATGGCACAAGGGCCAAAGAAGGCGATCAAAACATAAAAAGACAAGAAAAAGAAGAATCTCAGGGCAACTTACAAAGATTGGAATGTCAGTAACAAGCAAGCGGCACTGAAACGAGAACGGTAGCGGAACGTCTAGACAGAGCATTGATGAGACCAACTCAGAGGAACGGAAAGGGTTTTGGACTGTCCAGAAGTTTGAAAATAGATAAAGGGATTTGGATTGATAAATCCAAAGCATTTATTGCATTAGCCGGAGTGAAGGTACATAAATCACGACCATCAGCATGGAATCGGCGCACTATTTTTGTACACTAGTACCACATCGCCACGTGTCACCATGAAAGGACATATGCAAGGGGCAAGTGTCAGGTTTGAACCATCACTAAGACCGAACTGGGGCGGATCCGAAGCGATGCAACGCATGGAGTACAGAGCAATAACTCATCCCAAGGGGAACCTTAGAGCGAGCTAGGAGGCAAATGAAGGGGCTAAATATGAAATGGGTTGGATCCTATCCCTGGGTCGGCTCAATCTATTAGACTCAAGACCTGAGAAGTAGGATGTGCAAGTGGGCTAGTCGGTTCAACCCAATTACATCGTCAACAATCCACCCAAGTCCTCAAGTACTTGGGCCCAACCTGTGGTGGAAAAGTTGGTCTAGCCATGATGCTAGGCTGGGCCGAGCAGCAGGACCTAACCCTTTGATAGAACCCAAAAAAGGCCGAGCCCACAAAAAGATATCATACTGGGCCGATCCATTTCTACAAGTAATCCCACAGAGGGCCGAGCTGGGGCACAAATTACTACACTAACTTCACATTGAAGGTAACTGATCTAAGAAAAACTCTACTCATTGAAACTTAACTCTCTGCACTTAGAGAGCACCTTGCTTCTTCTCCGATTACTCATTCCCACACCGAAGGGGTCATCCGGCCAACCCCGGTAGGGCAACTTTGACGGTGCTCCTTATTACAGGGCCTCAATTCCTGGACGGTCCAATCAAGTGCGGAGCTTCGATCCATAATCATCTAGTGCGGTATTTAGTACGCACAAATGTGAAGATTATTAGACAATTAACCTAATAATTGAATGTGAATAGTGGTGGAGCCATGAATTTAATATATGGAGCACTTATGAATTATAATCTCAAAATTTTTCTTTCCCAATCAATAACAATAACATAATAATAATTTTTTTGAGCTAATATTAAACATTAAAAATTAATATTCATAAACAAAATATTGCATCTTTTGCTACGATAGACTCCAACTAATTAGGAAATTCACTAAACTAAGCCTGATTAAATCACCGAAATTTTCATAGAAATAATGTTTGTGGAAAATTATGATCATGAGGTTGACAAGAACCTTTTTGTAGACATGCCCTACGAATTTGGTCTCGATCATTAGCATTATAGTCCATAATCCGAGGTCGTAGTCTTGGATCTATAGAAAGGTCTACCAATAAGTTGATTTTTATGCGACATTGTTTTGCGGAAGAATAATTATCATATTCTTCTTGAAGAATAGATGATTGCAACTTTAATTTTCTTTTGAAATACATCTCCATGATTGTTTGAAAAAACTAAAAATCAAAATAAAAACTCATAATCAAAATCACAAATCCCCACAAATCAAAATCTCAAATTTTAATACAAATCAAAAAGTTTAAATTTAGCACAAATCACAACAAACCAAAATTTCTAATTTTAGCACAAATTATAACAAATCAAAATC